TATAATGCATTATACGATTCGTACCTGCAAAAGTAACTTTTTGAACCTTTAACTATTTTTCAAAAATAAAGATTAATACATATTTTTATCACCCCCAAAAATCATTTTATATAAAAGAGGAAAAAAAAATCCTATTTTTATAGAGAATCAATTTACCCGAACAAAAATATGTACTAATAAAAAAAAAAATGTAAAACTTTTATGTGGAAAACTTAGCAGAGTTTGACCAAAGGTTCGTTCGTCCCAGCGTTAGGGTTCACTCGTTCCCCAAAAAAAAAATTCCAGAAAAAAATTATTAGATACATATTTTTGAAATTTAAATCTACCATAAAACTAATAGAGCTGAGCAAAATATTATTTAAAAATGATAAAGTACTTTTAATTTTATTAAGGTTTGTCTTTAAAAATTCCAAAAAAAATTATTAGATACATATTTTTGAAATTTAAATCTACCATAAAACTAGTAGAGCTGAGCAAAATATTATTTAAAAATGATAAAGTACTTTTAATTTTATTAAGGTTTGTCTTTTTGGGTTCGCCATAACCCCACCCCAGTCTCCCCTACTCAAGCCGAACCAAAAAAATAGATAAATTAATACAAAACATCGGATAATCGCCATTTCCACCATTGATATTTTGCCCCTTTTAATACCTTCCTCTCTTAAAAACTTTGGCTCGTGATGAAATACGGATCCACATACTGGAATGCCAAAGAATTCCTTTCAAATTGAAATATTTATGTCCATAATTATCGCGCGTTTTTTTTAAGAGACCTCAACACTCAATTTTAAATAATAACCTTTTATATTTAAAAAATATTATATATATATATATAGTATAAGTAGACCTGTCGGCCGGCTCAATTTTCAAAAATCTAATGGACGGCTGGCTGCGCGTCGATTTTTAGCCGCCGTCAATAAAATCGGCGCAAATCGGCGCAGTTATAAATTTTTATACCATAAATTTTTTTAATTGCTTATATTAATTTTTTTTTTAAAAAAAACACAGATAAATATACACTACAGATATCTCGGCATATTTTTTTAATATTCATTTGATAGAAAACTTATTATATCCAAAATCTATTTCGTGATTTTATAATATCTCGTATAAAAATTATTTTATTTAAATTTTCGGGACATAATGATGATCTCCTTGAATTTAACGTCAATACAGCGGGAGAGAAAACTCTTTTACTGAGTGTGCTAGTCGCCGGAATGCAAAAAAATTTTTAGTCGAAACTGGAAAGATTGGGAAGTTTACTCTTCTTTCCTCTCCAAAAATTTAGAACGTCCATATCTTGTGAATGTCGTTTTCAAGAAAACTGTGGCATTCTTGTTCTAAGTCACCTAACTTGTATTCATAATTTATATTTGTTGAATGTTTATTAGCCAATTTTGTCAAATAACTTGAATTTAATAATTCATCTTCATCCTCATTAGCTATATTTACTACCTGATTATCATCATTCTCTATAAGTTTAAGATGTTTTATTATAAATTCTGAAGCTGATCAATTTTGCTCTATTAAATACTTTGACACAATTGTCAATTTTTAAAATCTTGGAAATAAAACAGAAGCCAATACCTAGATAATTTTAAATAAAAAATAAAAGAATATACTTATATAATATTATTTGCATATTATAAACCGGAAAGCGTAACGCAAGTTTTTTTAGTATATTTTCCTTAAGTTAAATAATTTCAGAACTATCATTATCATTTACTATTAAATGTGTTTCAATTTCACTTCTAAAAATTAACGCCAAGTTTAAAGTAGGCCCTTTTTGTACTGAAAAAATTCGACCGTTTCTTTAAATTTTGAAAGAAATGCTAATAGTTCTTTTAACAGATCAGATTAATAATTTGAGAAAGTGCTTCCCAATTCTTTTCAAAACATTATTAATTAAATCCTTATTTAATCTACATATGCTTTCTAGCATAATTAATATACTAGGCCAACGTGTTGGGCTTGGGACATTTAATTTTAAGGTTTTCATATACGTGGAATTATTGTTATTATTATCATTGGAATTGCCAATTTGAAAATGGATACTAGGGTATGGATCAATGCTGTCAAGATCTAACATGTCTGATTTTAAATCTAATGTACTAAGACATTTTCTTTGATACTCGAATTCAAATTCAACTTCTGCAGTTTTATATCTTAGAGTAGTAATAATTTCTCTAATTCTTTTGCAAAAAATTTCCAGACTATGGATTTTTTATTATCCAGAGTTAGGATACTAAAATTATTTTATAGAATTATTAAATGTAGATACATCCATTTTAAAAATATGTAAAATTATGGTAACTTTTAGAATTTTAGATTTTTGATTGGTTGAATTCTATAATGACGTCAATATAATTATGATTTTAAAATAGTAGAAAATAAAAATTCATCAAAATCCTGTCCGACATTATAAAAATTACAAGAGTGATGTTAACGTGTATACTGTATATAGTCTTTAATTGTTAATTAAATAAGTATATAAATTTTAATATTCAACAATATGTTGTTATAAATTAAAATAAAATAACATTTCTTTGTTTACCACTTTCCCCCTTCCCCTTTTGCTGTACATATATTTCACTGTAATAAAATTGATTGATAAGACTTAGGGCGTTTACCGATGTGACTAGGCGAGGTTGAACACTAAAACAAAATTTAAATAAAAAAAAATAATGAGGGTATAATTTTTGAAACCTGACATTGGTGATGCTAAATCGTTCAACCCAAGTTGACTCTAGCTGGAAAAAAAAGCGGCTACACCTTGAAGCTAAGCTCGTTCCTCGCCTAGAACACAATTAATCATATGACACTTACCACATTACATTTTTTTTGAAGTTTCACTTTCATACGTCGAGTTTCTGGGATCAATATTTTCAAAAGGAGAAAAAAAAATTTTTCCTATCCATATTCATTTGCTTTAGAAATGAGAAATTAAGTAATATGATATCAAAGTCAAAGCTATAAAATTTCTAATATAAATGATTTATTATTATTAAGTTTCATTTTTTGAGCGGTAAAATTACACTTGAAATGATTTATTAAATAGGATTCAGTAGTTAAAAAAATAGGTTTAAATAAAAAATGGCTCCCAACTCCAAGGCTGAGTCAATTCCTCTGGGCTATAAATTTGGCCAAACCCTTTTGGAATTCGACCTGAGTGGAAGTATTTTTCATCGCAACTAATACCATGATAATTTTTTTTTTAATTTATTTATTTTACGTAAAATTTAGTGTTGTAAACGAACGCGTTCAAAATGAACGCGTTCGTGAACGAAGTTCGCTTTTTTGAAAATGATGATGAACGGCGTTCCTTTTATTTTTTACGAACTTTAAACGTGAACGCGTTTCTTTTTTATGACGAACGCGTTCGATTTAACGTTCGTTCAATTTTAAAAATATTTTTTTTATTTATTTTGAAAAATTTAATATTTCCGAATTTTTTTAAAAAATGTATTATTTATATTTAATCGGCTGTGTATTTCCTTTTCACCTTTCAATTTTTTTAACACATAGTTTTATTAATTTGAATTTGAATATTATTGTTTATATTTTAATTTAATAGATTAGCATAAGCATAGATATTATTATTTAATCCTCATCATCTGATTCTGAAAATCCAAAATCAGATGAATTATCATTACTATGGCTAAATATGATAGATGTTTTACATTAACATCCTATATTGAAGGAACTAATCCAATGCTTACCAAGTGTAAAATGTGGCCAAAAAATATTATATTGTCAAAATCTTCAGGTTCCAATTTACACGACATTTGATTTTAATATTAATTATTTGATTTTATATGATATAACTAAGTTAAATCATTAAAATAATGCATTTGGGATATTTGACATAACGATAGTTATTTTAAAATTAAAAAAATTAGTGGCCTCAAATATGGTTAACCATTGATAGACGCCGTGTTAAATAGGATTAATAAAAGGTATTAAACCTATCACTCTCAATTAATTACATATATTTTATTTTTTTAAAGATTTGAACATATATATAAGGATCAATATGTTCTTTATGCAATTATACAACCAGCATCCAAACTTCAATGGCCATAGATAAAACTTCCACAGAACGAACCAATTGAAATAAAGTTATAGGGTTATTGAAAAAAATGCTTTGAAAACCGTAGAGAACTGTTAATTTCGAGATATCCATTTTTTTTTGTCGAGAGTAGAAAATGGATTGGAGGAGAATAACTTATCTCAATTTTTTGCAAATAACAAAACAATATGTTTTTAATTAATTCTCCATGTTAAAAGAGCTGTTTATTAAGTATAATACCGAAATCCCCTCATCTGCCCCTGTAGAGCTAGGCTAATGCCGTATAAACTGCTAAGTGTTCTTGTCTATCAGATAAATATTTTGAAAACAATTGTTATTAAAATTTAATAAGAAAAATTTTTTATAGATAAAAATATCTTTTTCTTCGCTATAATTATATTATATTTTATTTATAATTATATTATCAAAATAATTATTTTTTAACATGGCTAAAATATATTGTATTAAAAAAATATAAGTTTATTTATATTAAATTAAATTTAAAAAAAAATTTATCATAAAATTTTGAACGGTTTTATGAACATGAACGCGTTCGTGAACGTGTTCCTTATTTTTGAACACGCGTTCGATTTTTGTCAATAAACGTTGAACGCGAACGCGTTCGATTTTATTAAAAATGTTTACAGAAATTATATTTTATATAAGTAAACAATGATGATATCTTTTCAAAATTAATTTCCATAATTAAGAAAATTTACGTAAATAGGTTATTGTTTAAACATTATTTTAAACCTCCTGTTTTAATACAATTGATTGAGTTTAATAAATAAATGCTTTGTTAAAATTAATTATTATTTTTTTGTTTTTAATTAATATATTTACATATTTTTTACGCTTGTAAATAAAAAATAATTTATTAATAAATTTTCAAAGCAATAAACATAATTAATATTTAAATGAACCTCGCGTAATGATTAAATTAAAATTAAAATCAAATCAAATTTTATTTATTATTAATCTTCTTTTGTAAAATAAATAATAAATTTTAAACTAGAATTATATGTCTTCCATGTCTAGCACTAACAATGTTGAGAATATAGATTCGCCTCCACCCGCTAATCCAGAAGATAAGGAATCTGTACCTAACCCTAACTCGCCGCCATCAAGTAAAAAGCCCAAAAGAATACACAAATATTGGAACAAAGACAAAATCGAGATCGTCAAAAAAATGCTATTGTTACCGGAAACGCAAAAAATGAGCGTAAGAAATATCAGCAAACTTGTCGACATGTCTACGGCGTCGGTGCATAAACTGAGGCGGAACACCTTTCCGGATATTATAGGGGATCCATTGAAGGACTACGATATACAAAAACGGGGATCGAAAAAGAAGGACCAATCAAATGTCCAATCAGAACTGTTGGATCTGTTGAAAGCCAATAACACGTTTACCATCCAAGAAATGATAGAAAATTCTCCCGCTGATTTCCCAAAAACCAAAACGACCATTAGAAAATATATCAAAAGTATAGGATGGTCCAAAAAAAGGGCCGGTAAAGAACGCTACGATAAAAAATACTCACCGAAAGCGATCAATTTTCTGAAGGCGTATCGCTCGAAGGTGCTAAACACGCCCACGGAAAAGTTATTCTTCTTCAGCGAAACGTGCATAGATTTACAGAATTCGCCCGTCTACGGCTGGGCACCATTAGACGTAACGCCAATCGTGGTCATCCCAAATTCTAAATCTAAATGCGTTAGCTTTTTATGTACCATAGGCCTGGACGGTCTGGTTAATTATCGCGTAGTGGAGGGGGCTTATAAGATGACATTTTTGCTGGAGTATATGGCGGACCTGGTAAAAATTCTTCCGGAAGACGCCGTAATCGTGATGGACGATATCCCCATGCATATGAGCCATCATATGGACCACTTTAAAAGTAGGGTAGAGTATCTTCCGCGACATTCGCCTCAATTGAATCCAATCGAGAGCTTTTTCCGCGTTATCGAGATTAAATTTGACGCTATTCATCCGCCACCCGCGACAAGAGACGATATTATTGTCAATATTTCCTCCATCATGAATCAATATGACCAACATAGTTTTTCAGATTTTTATTCCGATATGCTAAAATTTTTGGAAAACGTTCCAGTTAAAATGTAAATAAAAATGATAGTTTGTAATATAATTTAAGAAAGATATACATAAATAATATTACATTATTTCTCTCTAAATAAATATTTTCCCCATCCTTTTAAATTATTTATGTGCTTGTTGCATCATTAATTCATATATATGTTAGCCTTGTAAAATGGCTCGTTTTGAGCCGATTTTTAAGAATGGCTAACTCAATATTTTAGCCAGAAAAATATTGCCTAAGCCTCAAGATTTCGATAATAAGTCTAAACCTCTGTTCCTTCTATGAGCAAAATCTTCAGGATTGGGTAATACTTTTCTGGATGAAGTATTGTGAGCAGGGATCCAAACCGAACCGCTAAAACCCGGTATTTTTTATCGAACCTAAACCGAACCTAAACCTCTAAAAAAATTTCTAGCCGAACCTGAACCGAACCGCTATGCCTCTGAACCGGTTCGAGTCTCATAATTTTATGCTTATAAAATAATGTGTAAGTTATTACTAGTATTATATTGCAAAAATTTTAATTATATTCAAATTGTTTTAAAAATTATTATCAATCACATTTGATTGATAACGTCAGTCATAATTTTTATAAACTTTAGTATATTGCCATTTTACAACATTTTTTAAATATTTTAAGCTTATAAATTATAATGCCTAGAAAAAAATTAAATCTAATATATCAATTATTTACATATATATTATATATGACACATCAAATCTGATATCATACTGGCAATGCCAGCTACCAAGTTAGTGTGGAAAGATGTTTTAACATATTATCTCCTTATAGATGTAATTTGTGAGACGAATTTTGAGAATATATTAATTGTGCGGCTTAATAAAAAATTTTTAAGTAATTGTTCATATTAAAATTAATCATTGATTTTATTTGTTATATTTATAAATTAAATATTATTTTATAATGTGCAATTAATAAAAATGAAGGTTTTTATTTTAATTATGAAATAAAAAATTTTTTTTCCTTTTACCTATTCCTAATGTAGGTTTGAATACAAAAGTATTCAAACCGGTTTTTAGAGGTTCGAACCGAACCGATATTTTTATTTTTTGCGAACCGAACCTGAACCTTGAACCGTTATTTTTATCCGAACCAAACCGATATTCGGTTTGGATCCCTGATTGTGAGTTAGCGGTTTTTAAAGATCTGCCCAAAAGGAACCGTTTAACAACACTAGCATATAGGTATAATTGTATATATATATATATTATATATATTATAAATATTTAAATCCATATAAATAAAATGTCGAAATAAAGCGAGGTTATCGTTATTCTTTGCGAGAGGTATTAGTTACCCTTTACTGGAAACATTTTAAAACTAGCATTTTACCCCTTATTATAGATCAAAGTTTAAATGATTTATTTTATCTAAGAATACCCATTCTCCATATAAGATGCTGTATTTTATTTTATACGAACTTGTCGAAGATTATAAGATAAAATCCCTTGGTTTAAAATCCAATCCAAAACCGAACCTTTTAAAAGATCTGTGAAATAACATTTTTTTTTAAAGATGATTAATAAACAGTTTTTGTACTTTTCGACGGCGCCAGTTACTTACCCTATTCCGAGCTTGAGGGGTGTTCTCAGCCAAAAAATATATTCTTCCACCTTATGGTATAATTTGACGGAAGAGTATCTTGAGAATATTTAATCGTAATTGCAGCTCAACAATTTATCGGAGACCTGTAGACCCGGTCCTAATCCTGCCGGGGTACCCGGGCCGGTCCTAAAAATTTTTAAAAAAAAACCCGGGTCGGGCCGGATATTTTAAAACCAAATATTTTAAATCGCCATTTTTAGCTGTAAAAATCAAAAATAAATAAAATACATTTTAATAAAACCCGGGCCGGGCCTTTGAGGTTTCTGATATTTATTTTTTATTGGAATAATGCGACCATCCTATATTTTCTATTAGACAGTTGTATCATCCATCCACATGGACTTTAAACTCCCCTAAGGAGAGGAGGTGGGGGGGGGGGGGGTGTGACGCAAGATGGTCATTGAAATTGGATAAGGGGTAATAAAGTTATGAAGACCCTATCCTATCGTCAATTTAAATTGGAGAAGGGGGTGGAGTGGTTAGGAGGGTAGTTTTGATTATAATTTTTTTTTTTTGCTAATTTTGATTTGATAAGGGGTGGATATAGGGGGGGGGGGGATTCACGTCTTAATTTGGCTGGAAAGGATGGGGGGGGGTGATGCATAAATCCATGGGACCAAGATTGGAATCCGCAGACGAGATTTATAAATTTTGAATATAAATTTTAAAAAAAACAGGATTTATAAAATATTTAATTATTGACGACAGTTGGGTTAAAATGTCTAACTTGGCTATTTAAAAGCATTCTTCCTATAAAGCCTGTTTAAGACAATGTGTGACGTATTTAATTAGTATATTATAAATGTCGTATTTGGGATTAGGGATCGGCAAATAGCAATCAGTCGGCACGGCCTTGTGGGAATTCAATTTACGCGCTGCCTTGTCAGATTTCAGTATATTTGCTGAGGGTGCCCATTCCGCGTTTGCAAGGTGTTCACCGAAAGATATGTTGTTGAAAGTCAAAATAAATAAGTATTTATATTATTGGGTGTGTAAAAAAAAATTTTTTTAAAAAAAATACTATACCCACTAACTTCTATTAAATATTAGAATTCATCAAATATATATAATGAATTTTTTTTTTGTGCGGCTTTGCTGGAACTTTTCTAATTGGAATATCTAATCCATGGCGATTCTAAATCTTTCAAAAGTTTTGGATCATTCACTGAGAGCGATCTATAAACTTAAATTTTGCCTGAAATATATTCCAACATATATAGAGTTACTCCCATCGTAAATTCGAGAACAATTTCATGGATTAACCATTGAACTAGCCTTAAATTTTTATCTAAGTTCATGGCAAAAAAAATTATCTAAATAAGGCACTCTACCCGTGCTGAGAAATGCATTTCCAGTCAAATCAGATTTGGACAGATTGCTGACTCTTAGTTGATTCCGTATTTAATTTTACGAAAATAATATAACGACCAGAAATAAATTTAAATATCATTTATCGTAAATTGTTCGTATTCGGAATCAAATTCAAATAATATTCTTAAATATAGGATCAAATCTTTTTCCGTGGCCTATATCACCTGTCACCGGAAAATGAACAAAACGCTAAAATGAAATAATGAAATTGGGAAGGAACTCCTTATATAATGTGAATGTGTTGTTATACGGCTCGTTTTGAGGGGAATTTTAAAAACGGCTAACTCAATATTTTAGCCAGAAAAATATTGTCTAAGGCTGCATTCAAAGTGAAGACGGATCCGTTTTTTTACATCCTTTCCGTCAAAAGTCAATCTCATTAAAAATGATATATATATATAGATTTACATTTTTTTTAAAAAAATTATAATTAACGGTTTATAACATTCTATAAAATTTGCCGGTTTTTAAGACGGAAGTTGTCGGAACGGACGCACTATGAACATATATATCATTTTTTAATGAGATTGTCTTTTGACGGAACGGATGTAAAAAAAGGGATCTGTCTCCACTTTGAATGCAGTCTAAGCCTCGAGATTTCGATAATATGTGTCTAGAGCTTTGTTTCTTCTATGAGCAGAATCTTCATGCTCACATGATATTTTTCTGGATAAAATATTGAGTTGTTAGCCGTTTCTAAAAATCGACTCAAAACACGAGCCGTTTAACACCACAAAAATGTGAAGCGGTAAAAGGAGTGTTCGGATAAAAATAATAATGATTCGTTTTAAATGATTTTTTAAAAAAATATTTAATTTTAAGAAGACAAAAAATTTTTTGAATAACCACAATTTAAGTTCTTTCTTTCTTTCTTTCTTTCTTTCTTTCTTTCTTTCTTTCTTTCTTTCTTTCTTTCTTTCTTTCTTTCTTTCTTTCTTTCTTTCTTTCTATCTTGAAGGAAAGAAAGTTGAAACATACCATGTTTGGACTGGGCTAGAAAACATTCACAAAAACTCAGCATGTTTTCTCAAAAACTATTATAGATTACAGCTTTGATTCATATTTTATTTTAAAGATTAAAAAAGATTGGGCAACACATTTTCTAAATCGCTAAATTAAAAGCAAATGGCTAAAAATAGGGGATATATCTCCTAGAAAATTTTTTAAAAGTAATATTAAAAATAATATTTTAATAGATGCTAGGAAAATAACTTGTATCTAAATTAAGTTTTTGTAAAAAAAAAAAATCGCTAAAAATTGAGGAAATATTATCGTTTGTTCCCAGAATTGGGAACAATATTTTGGGAATATTGATGATATTTCCCTCATTTTTAGCTCTTTTTTTTTATTTAAAAAAAAATCAATTTAAAAATACCTTTGTTTACCTTCCCTAAGCATCTATTAATATTTATTTCAGAATTTTCTTTAAGAAATTTTTTTTTAGAAAGATATAAGTGAGAGAACCAAATTTGTTTGATATATTACTTTTAAATGTTTTCTCGTTGAATCCTAGTCCTACTAGTCTTGTGCTTGATTATAAAACCTTCCGGCACATTTTTACGAAGAAATGTATACCCTGTTGTTAATTAATTAATATATATTTTTCGTCGAGATTAAAATATTTAGCGAAATCGGGAACGGGATATTCCATAATATCATCATTTTCCAGAGAAAAATTACTTTTGCCGATCGATATGATTGGTAGCAAAATTATCTTTTTCAATAACAATCTTCTATCGTTGACATTTTAAATTATTTACTAAACTATAAGTGAAAATTAATTTTTTAAATATAAATTTGTTAATAGAAATTAATTATAAAATATATATATTTTTTTGTAAATTTTATACAAAATTGAAATTTCCAAAATTAGCAGCTAACTACCGCTACCGCTATAGCGCACTAAAGCTCTCGCTATTGAAAAATATAGCACATTACTTTAACCACGCCGCTGGATGGAGAATAACCGTGCGCTTATTATATAGAGATCTATTTGAGACAGTAAAATTATTTTTTTTTATATAGAACTTTATTTATTAATAAGATAAAAAGATTAGGGGAAAGAAAAATTTACAAATTTTTATACCGTTAAAAATTTAAGATTTGGATAAAAATAATAAAAATATGTAAATATAAATTTGTAAAATTGTAAAATAAATTATATATATTATATTTATTTTATATGTTTATAATTTTTTTTTCGTTATAAAATAATTGGTAAGGTGATAGTTTTATATTGTTCAAATTGAGCGCGTTATTTTAAAATTTAAAAAAAAAATCAGATTTTTGCCGGAAATGCATTTCAAATAGATCTATAATAACCCATCCTATAAATTTCGGAAAATTTTATAATGAGCTTTCTTATTGCTATTTACCCAATAATTTTATATTCATATTTTGTTCATTAATTTTTAAGTGCATTTATTTAGGATAATATTTTTGTATAAGTTTTATATGATGAGAATAATCCTGAACCATCTAATCTATATCACTTTTGCAGTTAGGAATGGAGTGGAGTGACTGGCAAAGTATATTATACTTTCATCACATTACTTACTATCTTTTATTAATGTAAAAAAACAAAAACAGAAATTTAACACTTGTTGATATAAAAAAAATATATGACTTAAGATTTTTTTTTGATTAAATTCTGGTTTAATATTTAAATCTTTCGATGAACAAGATTCTATAATTGGAATTGAATAATAAGTTAAAATAAAAGGTACAACTAACATATATATATTCTAAGGTTAACAAAAACATATAAATGTAAGACAGTGATTTGGGAGCATATATTAGGGCTATAATATCCATTAGCATCTGCATGATCGATACCGGTAGTAAGAGAACTATAAATTGAAACGTTAAGATGGTCAAAGTTTTTATGTGTTGTTTATGTTCGGATAACTTTTTGGAGTTCCGTCTGTTAGAATTCATCATGTAAGGTTCATTGGTGACTATTTTATTTGGAGATTTGGTTATCCTTGCTCCTTCCTCGATTAAATTAGAATTACGATTAAGAGCGGGGTCGTTCCCAAATGTATCGGGAAAATGGAAATTAGGTTTTTTATAATTGTCAAGATTATTTTTGATACCATTGAAATCTTCTCCAGTTTCGTTGCCAGACACGCCAGTAAAACGCTTACTACTCCGCGATTTAAAAATTTTATGAGAAATTGTTACGCCTCTTCTGATGAAGTATAATTTTGCAGGATATTATCAGGGAAAAGGGAATTAGCACAGCAAAAACTTCTCTGCTAATTTGGTAAATTATCCAAAGATACCTGTAGCTAAGTATCCTGGGGTCGGAGTTTTCGTAATCGATAATAATAGGCATAGTCTTCTGTGTAAATTTTATTCCTTCTGCTAACTGTGATAGTACATAATTTGAACCATTTGTGAGTCGGAAAATACCATATGATCGAGTACGTGAGACCTTAGAGCATAGCAATTTTGAAAATTTTAATATTAATCAACGAGTTGTAGTTGAATGGGTATACAACCGCAATCAGCTGATTAGCAAAGAAGAGCAAATAAATGAAGAAGCTAAAATTTAACAACGATTTCGATATGGGATAATGATAATTTGCTAAATAGAATATCCAACCTTTAGAAGTCCAAAAAGGGTTTTTTAGATGCTCAGCGCCGTAAATTTGAGAAGGATGAAATAATCAATCCCAAAACATTCATAAAATTTACCAAGAAAAACCATTTCAACAAATATGGATTAATATTAACATTACGTTTTGTTCTATTGAAGGAGGGTCTCGTATTTATCGAAAACAAATTTCGAGGATCTAAGGACGAGATAACCATATTCGACATTTTTTTCCTCGAGGATCCTTTTCTTCCAGCTGATCGTTTCAAGGTTTTGATTATCAGGTTCTTCGTACATTCAAAGTAAATCCTTAGAGCGCATAAATCATTGCTACGGGCGGAAGCATCACTCCGAATAAGTTCCCGACGACTCCCAGAATCAAGATAAATATGCAGAAAATTTTAGTAAACTGGTTTATGTTGGAATTGCTAAATATTTCTCAGGAATATGTAGAACAAGGTTGCCGTTCATCCATAAATTTTTTGAATTAAATCCTAACATGGTTTTTTTTTAAAAAAATTATTTACAAAAAGCCTGTCGCTGTGAATTTCTTTTAAATTGATTTCAATTAAAGGTAAAAATATAATGAAAATTAATTATTTATATTTATTTTTAGTATTTAAATTCTCAAAAAAAAAATCTTTAATAAATATCACTTATTAATAAAAAACAAAATTTGTAAATATTTAGCTTTTAAAATGTTTCGTAAAATAGAGTCAAAACTGTGTTTTTTAATTGAATTATGCAGCTTTGCTTAACTCATTTTCACAGTTTCAAAATTTGCCTAGTTTTTTTAATGTTTTTTATAAAGAATATTGATAAAATGAAATCATTCGGGGGACTGGCCCGTGAATAATTTAGCAGGATTAGTTATGTAAGGTTAACAGGCATCGGCTTGGGAATAGCGTAGTTTAAACCCCACGAGAGGAAGTCATCGCCTCGACCTAAAATTTTGAACGGGTTTTTCAACCTAGCCCCCAAAATGGCTGTCATTAGTATCGACTTAGACTCGAGAAGTCCTTTATTTTGATCCGACTCATAAATTTGGCACGACATCAATCATGATATCAAATATTATATTTCTAATTATTAAGTAATGGGTTTTAAAATTTTAAAGTAAGGATTTAGTTTATGGAAGATGAATGAGGAGCATTTGAAATGTGGAAATTTTCTCTTTTAAAGTTTTTTTTAAGGCAATTGGGTAGGATTTAGCTGGAGATGAACCATAGAAAAGTGACAATTATCATATTTGTCATGTTAAATTAGAATTTTTTTTCAATGAAGATGTGCCATATAATAAGTGACAATTATCATATTTGTTATTTAAAAATTTTAAGTATAATACGGGTTTAAAATATATATTATAAACATGTTAAATTATGATTTTCAATGAAGATGTACAATGTGACAATTAAATATTGTCGTTATTATTATTATTTTTTGTATTATTTTGAAGCAAATGGGTAAAAAAATAAATTTGGTGTTAAAATTAAAATTTTAGTGAAGATGAACCATGGTAAAATGTGACAATTGTCATTTCGTTATTTAAAAAGAAAATTTTTTTTGAAATTATTTAGAAGCAAATAGGTAAAATTATAAAAATGAAAACATGTTGAAATTAAAATTTTTATTGAAGATAATAAACTATATACAAAAGTAACAATTGTGATAAATCATTATGGCTAAATTTTATTTTAAAAAAAAATAGTAAAAAACAAATGGACTTGAATATAAATTTTAATAATCGTTATTTTTATTCAATTTTGAATATTTTTATTTGAAGCAAATGGGTAAATTATATGTTTGTAAACATATTAAATTAAGAATGCAGTAAAGAAATATACCAAAAAAAGTGATAATTATCATAAACAACATTATTAAACTTTTTGATCTTTCTTTAAGCAAATGGGTAGGAATATACAAATTGTAAACATGTCATTTAAATTATCATAGAAATGTGACAACACCAAATGCACTGTTTTGAATTCTTCTTCTAACAGTTTTAAATTTATTGATTTGCGCATGTTCCTATTCCAAATTAATCCTAATGAATCTTACTTGAATGACGAGTAACTTGATGGAAGGGCCGATTTTCCGATATTATCTCATGACAATATTTTACGATACTTTCTTGAAATTTATTTGATTAAGCACACAAATAGAATAATAACATTGTTTTCACGTATAATGATTTTAATTTTATCTGATACTGCGGGAGGTTATAAGATAATTATCAGAGTTGTTAAAGGGTCTAGATACTTGTATCTAGATCTTGTATCTAGATATATAAATGTCTGTATCTAGATAGATTTTTGATTAAAATATCTGTATCTAGATATTATTTTAGACGATGTATCTGTATCTAGATCCCAGGAGCGTAACCAATGTGGGGGGGGGGAAATCCCCCCATCGCAAATTTGACTGTTTTCATAAATATCATTTTAAGCTAATAAAAATTTTACCCTCCACCCCCTCCCCACTTCAATCAAAATTTTACAAATATTTGAATAACAATTTTCCAACATAAAACTTATTTTTTATAAATAAATTTTATTAAAATTTCCTTTCCTTGTGAGTACATTAACATTATTCAAAAATATTAATAGAATGGAAAAATTTTAAGTTCAAAGAGATTGAAATCAAATGGTAATTTAGTTTATTATTATATATAATTATTTTATTAAATTCAAAATTATTAGTAAGTTAGAATTAATAAGTATTTTTAATATTAATTATTCATAAATACCTATAATTTTTTAAATATTTTATTTTTACTTCGAATTTTGTAGAATAGAAGAAATAGAAATACAAAAGTTAAATAAGGCTGAGCATGAAAAAAAGGAATGTGTCGTCAAAAGCGATATCACTATTGAATTCAATTGATCAATCAGAGTTTATCAATGCTGCTAGTTGCATCAATAAATTATTTTCCTATAGCTCACTACTTTGTAGAAATTTACAAAAACCAAATTTAGATTTGATTCAGGTTATTGATTTGGCAGAAAATATATATGAACAGGTAGATACAATAAGAATGAACGTAGATGAATATTTTCATAATATTTATATAGACGTTGAATAGAAGGCTAAATTTTATGATATAACACTAATTAAACCTCGTCTAGCACCTGGTCAATTATTGAGATGTAAAATAAATATTGGCTTAACTGAAGAATATTATAAAATATCCACTTTCATCCCATTCTTAGATACCTTTTTATCGCAAATAAAAGTACGGTATGCCCAAAGATCCATCTTCGTTTTCTAATGCCCAGTGGCGTAGCTAGGAATTTTCCTTAGAGGGGGTCCATACATATAAAATCCTGGGAGCTTCGCCCCCAGACCCTTTGACGGGCCTTCGGCCCTTTTGCCCGGCCTTCGGCCCGGTTT